ATTACATGAAGTTTTTCAAACGCAATTACATGATGAGTGAAGTTGCGAAAACAATATTTGTTTAGGCGTTGTTTAACATAATCCACTGTGTGAACGAATATTATAGAAGTTATTAATCAGCAATTACTTCATTTCTCTAATGAAGGTTTATTTCTAAATACTAATTACAATGACAAACCGATCATGTCATATTTGAAGTATGACCTTAATTACATTATTGTTTTTAAATATTATACATATATTTAATGCTATTATAAATAATTTATAATTTATCATTATATAAATGTGTATAATGGTTGACACTAATAAATGTGTGGTATCACGAGTGTTACCATATTACTAATAACATTATTCAAAATTGTTATATGATGTATTTATTTTTACTATCTTGTACAGTAGCGAATGAGTCTTTTCAATCACGTGTACATCTTACATACTAAAAAATGAGAATTTTCCAAATTATTTGTATGTCCTTATAAGATACACTCTAAGCTAAACTTTTAAACCAGTTCAGATTGTTACCCAGTTTAAATAAATTTATTTGAATCTAATCTAAAATTAATCTAAACCTCCAAGTTCCAACAATACGCCACCAGTTACTTGATTATTACGTTGCACTTTTTTCAGCCCCCCAAGCTCCATTTCTATAGTCCTTTTTCCGTCGTTGTATCGGCTGGTGTATGTTTTATGAGGGTATCGAATGACCATAGACATTAGTGCAGACGATCAGGAGTAATGGTTTTGGGATATGTGTTGATGTCAGGGGATACGGGATGTTCTAATATGGTGACTTATGATGGTTTCAGACCTGCGAGTTCGTTTTTTTGAACTCCTTTTATGCTTTATGGGGTGAAATAGTTTAGTGAGGATACTCCGCACTTTTATAGACAGTATCTGTGAAGTAGGTCGTAAATTGAAGTTGATGCTATCAAATGACAGGTTTATTGAATAGTGATCGTTTCATTATTGGATTTATTGTTTTGTGTATTATTGTCGTATCAGAAAACACTTATAGACAAAAATATCATATTTTTGTTTGTTTTTATTGTAATTGTTTTTATGTTAATTTACTGCATATGAATAATATGTAAGTATGGTTAATTACATACTGGCTGTGCCATGCACAAAATTTAGTTCTATACTATAGGGTAAGGCGGAACACTAATGTTCAATTGGGCTTTCAGTTATCTTAATGTCTAAACTTAATGCACCATATGACAACACATAACATGTATCAAACAAACAACTATCGAACTATGTTCAGTAAAATTCCCAGTTAATTACTATTATTCTTAGATTTGTATTTTTCTAAATTTGGAGAAATGCTTTTTTGCCTCTTGGGCGGACAACCAAGAGGCGAACAAATCCAACGTCTATCTATTTAATAAATCTTTTTTAAGTTTAAAGGATGATTGACTAAATAATATTCACATATTTTCAACTAATGTGTAATACAAATTTTATTGAAACATTTTTTATAAAGATTTCATTGTAATATAACCTTGATCTTGTATTTCGTAAGAAATATTCATCAGCAGAGGTCAAATAATTATTAATTAAGTTCCCGTAGGGTAAGTTCTAGTAATGGGCCTAAAATCGAAAATGAACATTTTTGCTTATCTTTACGTTTCAGAGGTTTCTAAACATTTTGGCATACCTCAGAAAAAATGGATGTGTTTGTGGAGACGATCGACGAAACGTATGGATGAACCGATTTGAAAAATTCAAAAAACAATCGATTTCTATTGATAGGGAGATGTGATGATTAGTTTTTGGCAAAGGCAGGTCTAGCGGCTATTGAAGATATGAAGCAAAAAATGCTAAAAATGTCAGTTTTTAAGAGAACGGATTAACCGATTTGAATGATCCAAAAAAACATTCGATTCATTATGTTGGGTAGAAGTTGTGATTTGAAGAAGTTTTGGAGATACAAAGCTAAATGTGCAAAAAATGCAGTTTTTGAGAGAACTAAGCATCCGATTTGAATGATTTAAAAAACTGTTTGCTTGTGTTGACAAAAAAAAAATTTTTAATATCGAAAAATAATTCGGATTTTAATTTTTATTGTAGCTAAAGTTCTAAACATCACTTATAATACTTTAAATAAATATAATAATTTATTTGAAAGCTTTTAATATTCCTCGACTATTTCATTAAGGTACGGAAAGTTCCAGCAATTTGCCTTAAGGAACGATGCCATACATCACAAGTTTAAATTATTGCTTGTAAAGATTTTATTTACTATTTTTTCCAGTTTACACGTTTTCTAATGTAAAGATTTAATTGGTCCTCTTTTCCCCATATATATATATAAGCTTTTATAGATATTATATAAGAAAAACTGTTGAATTCAACTCAAAAACAACTATACATCTTATAAAATAATTAAATAGAGTATACTTAAAAATTATATTTAGGTATCATAAACTAAATACAAGAGCTCAAAACAAAATAAAACTACTTTTTGTTTGAATAATGATACATTTTCTTTTATATAATTAAAGAGATGGCTAGTCACACATGTTTTGCATTCTACTTTAGAATATCCTTATTAAAAAATTCATTAATTTTCTTGTTTTCAAGATAATGATAGTGGACCTTTTTACCCGCGGACCTTCAGGCCCTACTCTACTCTATTTACTTCTAATCATTAATAATATAATTGAATCATATTAATGATATTTCTGATTATATCAGTTTATGATGAATGAAATTTGATTAAGAAGAGGATTTATTGTATTGAGATTAAATTGAATGCCAGTGTCTGAATGAACGTTCCATATATAAATATATATATATATATATATATATATATATATATGTATGTATAACTTAATTCTTAAAATGAATTGTACTGAGAAAATTACTGAAACCTTGGAAATGCACTGCCAATAGTATTATTTTCCAACGAATTGTACGATGAGCTTTATGGCTTCATATTACACAAATAGTAAAAATAATTCGTTTCAATCTGATTAATACGATTACCAAGGAACTGGCGATAATAATTGATTGAGTCTGTAAGTGTCAATTTTAAAAATCCATTATTTGAGCCTTAATAAATAATCTCTATAGTGAACAAATTCAATTATTAATCTTTAATATTTAATTAATAGAATTTTATATTTAAATTTTATAAATGTCTTAACTGGTATATGCTTTGCATAGCTGTACCTAAATCATAAATAAATTTCACCAAAATCTGGATCTGATAACTTATGTATTATGAGTCCAATAAATTCCTACTTTGTCTCGATAACATCTAATTTAGCAAGCCTTTCCAATCGATTGTTGAAATCATCTAGAATAACTTTTGCTTCGGGCAAGTTAAATTAACGTAGTTATATTCATGAGCAGATGACTTCGGGGACTGACATTTGACATTTTCGTAGTCAAAATCAAATGTGCCACGCGCACCAAATTATGGCAAAATGACAACAAAGGAATAGATGCTTGATTTGATTTGTTTCCAACAATTAGTCGCAAATCATCCTATAGGAATCTTAATTGTTTGAGGATAAATATTTATTTTCTGCCACAAAAAAAGGATTATTATAAAAATATTAGTCAACAATGTTCTACACTCTTTTGTTTAACAAAAATTCAAAATTTACTCGTGGACCAAATTGCTTTATTTTATTTTCATAAAATTAAAAAATAGTTTTTAAAAATTATGTTATTTATTATTGAGAGGTTTTACTAATTTGTAATTAACTTTATATTGCCATGTACTTGTCAGCATTCTCTGCTTGATGTAATATTATATACAGATTGCAGAATAAAATTGAATCAAAACTAGTGGGATGCATGGCATCGTGCCTCAAGGCAAATTGCTGGAACTTTGCGTACCGTAATTAAAAACCTTGGTACGGAACCCAAAAATATTGTACAAAATGTGTACACATTATTAAAATCTTTATAAAATATCTGATAACTTGATGTACATATGTCCATTAAACATTTTTGACCGCCAAATGACACTTTTTTAACTTATTTTTATTGAGAGTTCATAACCGCTTGACCTGCCTTCTCAAAAATGTAATCGGTTCTTCATCTTGTCAATACAAGTGAAATCTTTTTTGAATTATTAAAATTGGACGCTTCGTTTAGTTCTCTTAAAAACTGAGTTACCGTTTTTGGTACTTTTTGCTCCATATCTTCAGAACGACTAGACCTGCCTTTGCCAAAAACTAATCAGCACGTTTCCTCATCAATACGAATCGAATGTTTTTTGAATTATTCAAATCGGTTGATCGGTGTCGACGAAAATTTGTATCCGCACACACATACATCCGTTTTTTCTAAGGTATGCCAAAAGTTTCAAAAACCTTTGAAACGTAAAGATATATAAAAATTTTCATTTTCTATTTTTTGCGATTACTATAACTTACCGTAGAGGCAGTTAAAACATATCATCGTATTGTTTAGTTGGTGAAAAAACATTGGAAGTGTATTTTAAGTCATATTTTTAACCACTACTTAATAACTTCTTTACAAAAGTAACGAGTGTCACAACCGTCTCTGGGGGTGTGAACCAGGCATAAAAATAGGTTGTAAACAATAGATATAAACACCAAAATGTTTTATAGCGACTTCTATTGTCATGAAAAACAATTATATGCACTTAGTAATATACTGCAATACCAACACAATAAAACATTTAAACAAAGCTTACGAATAAGATATAACAATATATAACAAAACAGAACTTTTACTTTTTCATTCGATTTTTGGCTTAGTTAAGTTAGATTGTTTTGTCTGTTTAATCTTTACCCGAAAAAGACAAGAAATACATATCACAACAGTGCCCACAAAATTTTTTACAACTAACAATCATTTTGACTCAGCTAAATGATCTATGCAAAAACTAATTGCTGATAAATAACTACTAATGTTCAACTTACAGCAATATAATAAACAAAGTTATCTTTGTGATACAATTAACAGTTATTATTAAAAGAATTCGAACATGAAATCTTACTTTTGACTCTTTGTAAGCAATGCGGTATACAGATCATGTTAATGTAAGGCGCAGACTGAAAGCAATAATGGAAACTTGTTCGAACAATCATACTTAAGCTTTCTTACTTTAGATCCTATCTCAAAATTAGTATGATATAGCAGATATATTATAACGGCTGTCACTATCGTACTCTGGCACAACCGTAGCAAGTCTCTCTTATTATTATTTTAGTATTACCAACAAATGGTTTGTTATATAATTTATTGGATGTATTGGCAAAATAGCATTAATTTTTTTGTCCATTTTTACAGTAATAATTCTGGCTAACAATTTCATATTTCATATCATCCTTTCAGGTAACAGCCGGCGGCACACGGCTTCCTCTGGCCGGATTTCCCGCGCCAAGGGCGGCTGTCCTAATGTGTTCAGCGGCCATGGGCGCAGAGGGTTCCGTAACATTGCAACTGAGGGAGGCCGAAGGTCCAGCGGACGCCGCAGCCCTTGGTTTCGGAGGTGTCTTGGCCCGCTTGCAAGACGACTCGGATGCTGACCTACTGGCGGACATGCTGGGCACATTGCACGCAGCCGGTACGCAAAATAATAGTCTCCGTTAGAATATTTAATCAACTTAAATTATAATTTTTTTTAACATTTTTAATTACAATCTATCACACTTAAGACATACAGTAATTGTTTTGACTTTATTATATGGATTTTTGAATGAATGACAACCCAATAGTTGTCTAATCCAATTATGAATAATTAACTATACTCGAAATATTTGCTGACATTTTTATCATATACTAGCTGACCCGGCAAACGTTGTTTTGCTAAATAAGGTATATTCTAAACCATTTCTAGAGAATCAAAAATATTAATACTTTAAGTGCATAAGGATGTGTTGTTTGAATGCTATTTACAATGAGGTATTATCAAAACAATAAACCCCATTAGTTTGTCTATATTTTGTCAATACAATCCAACTGCAAGTTTTATACACTTTCTATAGAAAACATCGTATAATACAATCTAAGTCTTTTTTGATCTTTCGACATATTGATTACGTTTCAAGTTTTTTAGATTCTTTTTGGATTATGGATTTTGTGTATAATTGTAAATAATACTACTGAGCTTATACAAAATTTTTGCGAGGAGAGATAAAAAATGAATTAAGTATTACTTCTTTGACCTGCTTTTTGAAAAGTTTCAAGTTACATTCGATGAATTAAAGTAAATTTAATAAAAAGTATATATGTAGAGCAGGGTGAGACACAAAGGTCCAATTTGACTTTGAGCAAATGTAAACTATATTGTGAAAACCATAACAATTATATCACAACAAATAACACATATCAAACGAACAATTATCTGACTACGTTCAGTGAACTGACTTCTACTTCATCATTGTAGAAATGTGCTTTTTTGACGTCTTTCAAATTTTGTTACCTAGACCTTTTTATCCTATATGCGGGGTAACTTGTAACGGGCAGGTGGCAAAAGGTTTAAAGCCTTATTATAATTTTAAAGGTATTTTACAAAATAATTACATTTTTAACTAATGCTAAAACTACCAACGGAAGAAAATACTTTTATTATGGATTTTCAAAAATTACCGTTTATCTCCCCCAATTCAAAGATTATCGTTCTCAAATCAAGGTTGTAGCTGGCTATACATCTTTTTTCCTCTACTTTTAAATATTGTTGTTACAATGCTTAACTTTACTGATTTTTGGCACATCGATGGTGTACCTTTTTAATCCCGGACCTTCATATATTACTATCTATTCTGCGATAAATTCTAGGAAATTATAACTGGAAAAATGTTATTCGACAAAATGTCCATTTGATCGATACCAAATTTAGATTCTGAATTTAAATAACATAAATAAAAAGTAATATAACCTAGAAAATATTTTATAAATACCAATGAGTATACAATTATACAAATGAGATCTTTCAGAGCACCGTGTTTGAGAAAAATATGCCAAAAAGTGCATTTTCATATTAACATATCAAAAAAGTTGATATTTTGAGTCTTTAGTAACACTTGTGGCCCGTTTACTATCGTTTTTGTATATAAATAAAACTACAAACAAAACTACTTACTACAAATTCATCATAATTAAATAATATTCTCGTAAAACATCCTATTAAACGTAATTGAACATCAAGCGTTTGACATTTTACGAAATTGCCACCGTCCATTGTTTTATTTACATTACGCTTCAACAAAAATTTTCAAATTAAAAATGTAAAGTTTCTACGTGATTTTGAAATAATATCTCACCTTTTGGACATTCTCTGGATTGGCACGAATTTTTCAAGACTAAGACTGGCCAAATCGATTCAGCCGTTTTCGAGTTTTATTCGGACATTTGAAAGAGAGCTCTATTTTTATATATAAGATATACAACTATACTCACGAGTGACTATTGAGGCCATATTTGAGATCTATAACCTCAAGTGAAAATTTGACATCAAAGTTTCCTGATGGCGGGCTTTATAAGTTATATTATCGAACCAGCGAACCCGGGACTAGTTGGTGCTAGCCCACGTTCGAACCGATATCGCCACCGCTGACCCAAATTACAAAATTGATTCAAATTTTTTAAATTTTGAATGTTTGCAAGAATATTTATATTTTGAAGTTAGTTCCATATCTTATAGACGAGACTGAACACAGAATTCAAATTTCGATTATATTATCATCTCAATAAGACAGAAATTAAAAATCATTGTCTTTGTTCAGTCAAAAATTAGATCTGATGGAGCGAATTCTCGATTAAAATAGAAATGTTAAGTCAAAGAGCTATTTGATCGAGCCTTTCACACATACAACTTATCCGTTTTGGAGGTTAGGTTGTATGTCATAATATTTAACTTTGGTGAGACTTCACGTATTTGTACATCAGAAAGTTGCATTAATGATACAATTGTTATTTGACATTATCCCTTTTGGAGGTTAGGTTTTATGTGTGAAACGCCTCATTGCACTGCAAGTACATAGCTTTTAGATAGCACGTGACTATCAACTCAAACGCTTATAGTCTCGTAACACAACGTCTCTATTTTATTTGAGAATTGACCCTTAATTTACTGAATAGTAATAAGCTAAATTTATTCAATATTAAATAGGTCTATTTATAATAGATAAAGTAGTTCATTTGGTGTTTAGTTTTGTTATATTTTTTATACTTTGTCTTGTGACCAACACAGGTGTTGTTGATGCAGAAGGTGGCGGCACTGCTTCCTTTGGCATCTTAGAGGCATGTCCTGATCAGGAATTGGCCATCCTCGGCAGTCCTGCTGAACCTGAACAAGGTACAGTAATAGCTAAATCATTATATAAAAACTTGAACCAAACCCATTTTCCTGTATTTGGCAGCAGATTTTTTTATTTTATTTAGTAGGCAATTTCTGGCGAACCAATAATTTTATACGAAAACCTATTAATTTAACATTATAAATAATCAAAATATTTTCTGGTTAGGTTTCAGATACAGCATAGATTGTGGTATAAATAAACAATAAACAGCCAACTTGTTCAAGTAACTTTTAAAATTTAGAAAATTATAATGCCCAAAAAGTATCTATGAATTCAATATTTCTAATTTATAATTTCTAATAAATTGATCTATTATATATAGATTGATTATAGCTAATACAATTATTTGGCGTGTATTTTTCTATATGACTTTAAATTGTTACCTTTTATCACAAGGTTAATGCTCAATTACCTTTTTATTGTTTTCTGACGTTAATCCATCTAATGTTATGTTACTAAAATTGCATTTATGTATTGGTACTAATTCACGTATCTTTCATTGATATTTACTCTTTTAATTCTAAACATTCAATATCGTCATTTTATTTCATAAATTATTATAAAAATTTTTACTGGTAACTGAATTAAACTCTATTGTAAGGTAAACTGCTTACTTAAGTTAAACATCTATTTTCTACCATATTTCATATATATAGTTCAATTTTTATTAAAAATATATTATAAGAAACCATATCACCTGAATTAAAAGTACTTAATACAATTATTTAAATTCATTATTTTAAATTATCCATTGTAAAACGTGCATTAAAATAAAAGAGTTGTAGTAAGTAATTTCCTCCAACTACAAGACCAATTAAAATGTTCTACCAAGGTTTATCATTAAGACCATCAAAGCATTTTCTAGAATTACAAAGTGAATAACACTATTCCAGTACCAAGGTAGCATTCAAATTCGAAACGGATCGCTATCCTTAGATCTTTGCTTGTATCCACAAAGGACTTGCTACTGAAAGGACACGTCGTGTAATTGAATTAATGATTATTATTCAACTGTAATACTAATTGAAATAAATTTTGATGAATTGGATGATTATTTTCAATTACAGCAAGTAGCACGGCGGAACCGGTAGCAACCACAACAACTACGACGGAGACGGCTCGAATTCAGGCGGCGAAGAGGCCGAGGCCGAAGGCTGCCTCGCCGACGAGGCAAGGACCGCAACAGTGCCAGGTTTGAAATATTAGATTAATTTCACATCTACATTATCTTATTATTTAACTCCAAAAATGTACCTAATTTGTGTAGGATTCTTGCTTTCATACTTTTTATAATTATTATGGGACCGATACTGCTGCGTAACAGACCATTGTTATGGCAAGGCTATGTTATGAAGAAATTTCCATACAAATTTGTTCTAAATATTGACATATGCCACGTGGTTGCAATGCAGTCAGGCGATTTTTTCAGGTTGTCAGATAAAAAACATAATCTAGAATGTCAAAAAAGCGATGTTACATAACAGGGTCTTTCTGACCCAGCTTCATAACATACGAGTGACGTTGGAGTTTATGTGTGAAACGCCTGAATGCACAGCAAATACATGACATTTTGCCACTATTCAGTATGATTCAGTTGCATAATGTATGGGAGTTAGAGCATAACACAGCCTTGCCATAACATTTATCTGTTATGCGGCAGAATCGGTCCCTAAGAATTTATCTTCATAGTTATATAAGCTGTAAAATAGTGTTTACTATCAATATGCAAGTATTCAGAATGAAATTATCAATCCCTCAAGATCAGGCCGATTTACATGAAGATAAATCTTTTCAATTATATACTATTAGATTTTTACAATTACTATCAGCTAAATATAATATTTTTTGATATATAAATATAAATACATAGAGAACGACCCATTTGTTGTCAAATCGAAACGGGGTGATAGTATTCATATTAACTAAAAAAAATATCTCACGTTGTTTGGAAACATGAGCTTTTAGGTGCAACCTAAAGCTTTGGTGAAATTATCACCATTTTTTTATTATTGTAGTTAATTTTCACTAATTATGTTCATTTAAACTTTAGAACCGTAACCGTGAATAACATTTTTAGGATCACAGTCCAAAAATACCACAATTGCTTCAAGTTTTCAAGAATTAAGACTTTTTGTTAAACTATATATCTAAAAATGTTAAAATAGGTCGACTTTGAGAGGCCTTTCTTTAAAAATAAGTTAAGTGTGTTGGCACGTTTCATCAAATTTTAGCGCCATTATTCAGTATTGTAAAATGGTAAAAATTCCGAATAAACAAATAAGAACCTAAAAATGACTTGTTTTTTGCTAGTATAAAATAGAAATTCACAAGAGTGGTATTGATCGTTTTTTTACCCGTTAGCTCCTGATTTCAAGGAAACTATCAATAGTTGTTTTAGTCTGATTTCTGGTACCAGCCGAAAATTAAAAACAAGCTTGTCATTGCACAAATTGCTGATCATCTTAGCCTCAGTCATCTTTTAAAAGAGAATATTTATGAATTCTTGCTGTTCTCTCCATTTGACCAAAAAGTACTCTAAAAAAGGCACTAAAAAATTTCGGATGTGGTTTTTCTTCCTCAGTTTTTAATTATCTTCTTCCAAAATTTTCTTAAGACTTTTGGTGTGTGAATGTGAATTATACAGTAAATAGATTGTTTTAAGTGTGAACTCTCTCTCCATCAAGTATATTTTCATAGCGTTAGTAAGAATTTGAGCTTTTAAGTAACTGCTGCAACATTTTTTAAACGGATTAAAAGTTACAACGGTTTTGTACGTCATGTGAATAAATGTCGTTTTGTGGAACGTTTGCACCTCAAAAAAGGGGTGTGTGACGTCCACTGTACGAGGTATCACTACATATTAAAAAATATTATTCCTTCTTATAGATGTGCAGCAAAGTTTTTGGAAACGCTTCTGCTCTGGCAAAGCACAAACTGACACATAGTGATGAGCGCAAATACGTTTGTACTATGTGCGCTAAAGCATTCAAAAGACAAGACCATCTGTAAGTACAATTAACTTTGAATATTACCCAAATATAAGTTATTTATTAAATTACTTATACATAGTATTGAATTATCATACGTAGTACTTTTAATTATCAATATTAATTCGAATGTATTTTATTTTTCAGAAATGGTCATATGTTAACGCACCGGAACAAGAAACCCTATGAATGTAAGGCTGAAGGCTGCGGCAAATCCTACTGCGATGCACGATCCTTACGGCGTCATCGAGAGAACCATCATGGTTCCTCAACGGCAACAGATGGTTCAAGTGGAAATCAGAGTGCGGTTAGCGGCAGCAACACCGCCAGCAGCAATAATAACAATAGTGCTTCCAATGCCGAGACCGCGGCGGGATCGCCTTCCGCCGCGAGCTCGTTATCCCCATCCACAGCATCAGGTAATAATAGTAATAGTTACGTATTTTCTCACGTGTAGGCAAGCTTCTTCACCTATTTTATCTGCCAGCAGTTACCTGTGTTTAAATTTTCAAAATTTTCTATTTCTTTACTACAATTTTTCTATATTATTTTTTGCTTTAAAAGTTGAATTTTAAGGCAGATCACTGATGCTTCTTGGTTTGTCAATAAAAAGACTTCACATGACGATCTGAATATAATTTTATAGACAGCGTAAAAAAATTAAGCATTGTTCAACATTTTCTGAAACATACTAATTATATAGTCGCTCAAGTCTAGTTTAGTTTAGTTTAGCTATAAATTAGTTTTAGATTAGATTAGTTATAGATTAGTTTCAAAAATATTGAATAAGATTATCCCAAACGACAATATTCAAGGCATCTCTAATCTAACTTTATTACATCTTTGGAGAACCATGCTTGATGAATCACTTGATTGGATCATTTGGTGAACCAATTGGTTGTCACTAGGGTTTGTCGGTTTTCAAAAACCGGTTTTTAAAACCGTTTTTTTTGCAAAAATTATGGATTTCGAAAACCGGTTTTTTAGTGAAAAAAGTCGGTTTTCAATGTATAAATGAAAATGACAAATATAGCCAAATACAAAAGATAGATGAAAGCGTTTTGATTCTTGAAATCATATCGGTTCAATAGCATTTGGAATCTTATCAATCTGCAATGGTTCCCAGAATGGTTTTGTGTTATCTTTTGACTAATGTATATATTAATTGAGATTTTCATACCAGTGTTAATATTAATTTAAATCAGTTTGACTTCTTGAAGGAGTAACTTACTCTACTCAAACCTAAAAAAAAAGAGTTTTAAACCATATAAGCTACACATTAAAAAACAAAAAACTTATAATTATTATATCAGGCTTTAAAAACAATTAAGCATAATTTGGTTGCAAGTATGAGAGTATTTTCTATTTTAGGAAATTTTGTGAGTAAACAAAGGTCACTTTTAAGTAGCAATTCGATAGACGTTATCAATTTTTTAAATCATATATTATTAAACAAAAAACAATTAGAATGTTTAAAATTAATTAATCAATATTGCTCGAAACAGAAATAAAAGTTTAGCTGAATTGTTTTTAAAACTAAAATTGATATTAACAAGTATGTATCAACATGTATCTAATTTTTAAAATTTTTTTTATTTAATGAATTTTTTTTATTTAAAAATATGTTATTTTTATTTATTCGAAAACTTTCCTTTCACTATAATAAAAATATTTTCATTCTTATATGTGAAAACGATGCATGAATAACGAATAATTATTTTCAAAGTTATTTAATCAAGATAAACTATTTCTACTAATTAAAATAATTTTGTTTACTATCTATATAATTGAACAATAAATAAATTCAGTCAAATACTATTCTAAATTACACTAAACTTGCAAATAAATTACAGAATATTCGAGCAAAAATTTATTTTTTATATAAAATTCGAAAACCGGGTTTTTAGTACAATTAAAATTCGAAAACCGGTTTTCTGAAATGTCGGTTTTTGTATAAACCCTGGTTGTCACTCATTGAAGTGACAACTATTGATATACAAAAAATTAGAACAATAATTTCATATGTGTATTCATAATTCAACTAAATAGCTCATCAGCTTTGTATTCTGATTGCTATTGTTTTATTTTTGTATTATAGATATATTCTCTATCATAGATTAGATTACTATTTATTATCATGTTTTTTGTTTTTTAAGTAAAAATTTTTTTATTAATTTTCAGGTGATGCATCATCACCTCATGGTTCTTCCTGCATCCAGTACGTGGCTTCTCCAACTCAGTCTGGTCATCGGACAGCAACAGTAAGCCACCGCAGCAGCACAAATCATACACATTCACGTAGTAATTCCACAAGCTCGACAGCAATTAGTGCTGGCGCAGGCAATGAAGGTGAGAGTTTTAAACAATTGAAATAATTTAGAAAGTATTATATGATTGAAATTTTTGATAGTTTATGTTTTGATTTTTTATATGTTATATTTCATATTTTTTAATAAATATGAGTTAACCCTGATTTTATCACCTTACCTTTTTAACTAGATAGACCTAATCTACTCTATTTTTTTCTATAATTGAGTTTAATGCTATTTAATTAGTACAAATGATTTATTATGTTACACAAAAATAATATTTAGCACTAATAGTTTTTAATAAGTTAATTTAATTTGTATATCAATTATTTATTATTTATTTATTTAGGTTTGACAACGCAGCAATTAGAACTTATAAGCCAAATTATGCAGCAGACAAAGCAGCAGTCTTTACAGCAGCAAAATATTAATAGAAACAACAAACCTCCAAGAACGTGGAATATGCAGGTGGGGTAAAAACTACGGACATGTTTTTATTCTGAAATTAACCGTTTCAAATAATAATTGAAATTTTTATTAGGTAAACTTACTCATTTATTATGTCAATCCATCTAATTTCTATAAATGAATATAAAAACAGCCATACTTTGTTAATGACGTGCGAATATTAGCAGCATTTCCATAATATTAATAATAATAATATATAATATTAATTAATAAATTAATATTTAATATTATTTTGTTTTTGATAAAATAAAAATATAAATAGTGTTCTGTATTATTGATAGTTAATAGCGAAGAATTGTACCGCAATATTTCAGGAGAGATTTATGATTTTAGCGCTCACTGTCGGTTGCAAATTTATATGAAAAAAGTCCCCGAGTATATATTTAATTCTGCTCAGTAAAATTTGTTCGATTAGTTTATATGTGTCTAATCTATAATGTGTCAATTTCTATAATACTGTCTAAAAAGATTATTGTCCTAAATATTGTCCTTGAACTCTTAAGGGGAATGAGACTTCTCCAATGACCATATCGTCATTGATAATTCGTTGCTAATCAGATATTAAATGATAAATAAAACTGTGCAGATCACATTTGTTGGATACCAACTGCAACTGATCTTGTCAAAACTCTCACGTTTGTGATATAGGGAAAAATAATAATTTGTAACACATCTATAGAAGTCAAAACTTGTTAAAATCAAATATTGGTTGAGCATAATCAACTATCTTATTGATGTCATTATTTAAACACAATTTTAAATTTTTTATTTTTTATAAATCATTTCTCAATAAACAAATATACATTCTGTGTCTTTGTTCCAGACACAATTGCAGCAATCACAGAAAAAAACAAATAATGTGACATCAACAACCGCCGTCACAAGTACCAACATAGCAACAGTGAAAATATCCAACGGCAGCAATGGCAACAGCGTTCATAGCAGTGTTTCTGATGCTAAATCAGGAACTGTTGATCAGTTAGAACCGAAACCGGTTGAATGCAATTTATGTCATCGGAAGTTTAAAAATATACCAGCTCTTAACGGACATATGAGGTTGCATGGAGGTTATTTTAAAAAGGTAATCATATCGATAATAGAAAGGTTGATACCATCAATATCTATCTTGGCAGCAATAGAAGAGTTGATACCATCAATATCTATCTTGGCAGTATCTTAAAACTACTTCAATTTAAAATATACTAGTGCTTTACCTGTCAACCTTTCAAATCAATTAACAGCGTTTTTATGATATCCATTCGTTGATACATCATAAATATATTCAAAAATTTAGTTAGCACAATTATATGTTTACAGTTATTAGTTTTACATTGTATGTTATTAATTTAAGTATTGATTTAGGATTCTGATAATAAAAAACCTGATAAAAAAGAATCAGCGTTGCCTCCATTACAAACTGCAAGTCAAAGTGTTCGTGCTCTGATAGAAGAAAAAATTATAAGCAGACAACAACGCAGTACTGTCACAACACCCACTTCTACAACACCTCAGGTAATAGATGTTTTAATTCTCCAATCATTTAATTATTATTTAACATTTTGAATTGTAATATCTGGTACTTCGATGTTAATTAACATAGAGTAACAGATTTTAATTGCGCATTTGAAATACTTAAAAAAATAAAATAAAGCTTTGCCATTGGCTTGCTAACTTTTTAAATGCTGAATCCAAATATTTTGTATTTTTGTAATAAATTTAACCAAGCGTTAACAAAATTATTTTGTACTAAGATAATATTTTAACTGAATCTCTTGTGATTAATTAAAGTATTTTTTTAAGGTGCAGCAGGTTGCCCGTCAGCAGGTTCAACAGATAATAAATCGCAGCAGTGATTTTGCTGTACCTGCGACTCCTCCAAGAAGAAGTTCAGAAGGAGAAGCGCAATACACTGAACCTACCACTACGACAACAAACAATGGAAAGGACGCCACACTCATAGAACTCCTCAAACGTGGAACCAAGGTTAGTTTATCGATTTAATAGGTTATAGTAACTTTTTAACAATTATCTTATTATTTTGTCTGAATATTCCACAGCTCCAAGTAAAAAGATCTCTGTCAGATTCTGGTGCATCAGCTTCCGTCCAACTTAATCTGCAGCAGACAAATACAACAACTGCCAGTGTTACAGCAGGAGAAGTATTTACGTTAGCTTATCAAAATCCAACCACTGGAAGTACTAATACTTTTTACACCGCTGGTGATGAGGTATATGTCCAAGATACTGCGATGCTACTTCAGGTAATTAGAATTTTTGCAAAAGATATTAATAATAACTATTACTATTTTTTCACAAATATATTCTTAAGCAAATATTTACTATTTTTATGCTGATTTATCAAAAACGAATAAATGTGAACGAAAACCAATATTATACATTTATGCAAAGTTAAGAAAAATATTTATAACAAAATGCATGCAGATTTTATGGTAAAAACTTCTTTCATTATCAAATTTAAATGCAATAATCTGACAAAGTGCTTTTCTATTACATATATATTAGTACTTTTGTTAGGTACCATTTATTTTTCAAATTTATCGAGTAGTTATCTGCGCAATTTTCGTCAATAATATAGACATTTTTTATCACTACTTATTATTAACTTTGATAAGATAAAAAATTAGTATATTTTTATCTTAATACTTTAAATAAATATTATTAACTTAGGCGGTGAATTCCATTCAGTTATTGCAGCAGGAAACAGATTCCGAAGAGCAAGAGACCTTACAAGATATAGCGAGTTTAGAAGATTATGCTGCAGTTTCTGCTGATCTTGATGTCCAAAGCCCTGAAGGTAAAAAATAAATTTAGTGCAATAATAGTTTAAAAAATTTACTGTTGCTCAATATCAATTCCATTTTAGGTTTTTCAGCCAGCTCCGGTTGTGGGACCACAGGGTCTTTGTTTGCGCCTGTGACAAGAGAACTAAGGGCTGTACTGGATTCACCACTTCCAGAAGGGCTCGCAGAATTAGGAGCTTATCAAGATCCTCCACATTCGCCGAAAGATCTTGCGGCTTACCAAAAAGAGTAAGTTGAAAATTCTTCTCGATCATCGATCCGACTCATCACTGATGCGTATTAGCATTTCTAAGTGTTGGTACATATTCTTTATAAAACATTGTAATTTTATTTAAAATAATTGCAGATACCTAATGTACACTGGTTCACCACCATCGCCCTTGCGTTATCCTTGTGATTCGCCTGGTTTAGGCTATCCCACGCCTCCAGCATCCCACGAGACTCAGGCTTCACAACATTCGCTTGATTTGCAACAGCAACAGCAACATACATTAGATCTTCAACAAGAGTAAGTTACTAATATTTGATTCAACACACTTGTACCAAATCGATTTAATTATCAAGTAAAACAAATATTATTTAGTTCCTAATTTACCAGATGGCTAATCAAATAATTATTTTTAAAGACTTCAACAGCACAGTGCACTCGATCAGCAACAGCAGCAAAACACGTTAGACCAACATTCGTTGGAATTAGAACAACATACACTTAGTTCTTTAGAACGAAATATAGAACAACAACAAAGATGTTTCTCTTTGGAAGAAGCCAGACAAAGCAGCAGTCCCCTATCTGCTGCATTCTTTACCGCAACGATGTCCAGCGCCGAAGAAGTTGAAGAAGCTCTGGAAACTGTGAGTGATCAAAAACATGAAAGTTTTATTATATTTATTTTATTTTATTTACGTGTTATAAAATAATATTTCATTAATTAGACAATCTATTAATCTACTAGTTAATTAAATTCTTAATTCTTAAATTCTTTGTCTTAATTAAATATTTCTTTATAATGTAGAAGAAACTTTAATTCTTATATAAATTCAATAAATAATTTTATGTTTCCTTAAAATACTAAGATCATTTTACTTTTAGGTTTTACCTGGAGAAATGGATGTCTATGACCCACAAAGCCCGTTACAAATGTCATATTTGCAAACTGCTCAACAAATGATGATGCCCAATTCAGATGATCCACTATTGTCAAGCAGCCCTAAAGATTTTGCTGGAAGGAAAAAGTTTGAATTCATTAATCGAAATCTAAGACGCGGGTATGTTTTCCATTTCTAGCGTATTGACTTCTAACATCGTTACGAGGGAATTTTTATAATAAAGCATAGTTCTTGACAAACGAAGTTGATAAAATATCTTAAGGGTTGCTTTACCAGTAAAAATCGATTTATTTGTACCAAGCTTTTGTAAAAACAAAAATGTTAATTTTACTTTTCAGTGTTAATTAAGCATTTTGCTGGGTCTCACAAATAAATAAATATACAAATAAATTTTTCTTTACTTTTCAATAAAAAAGTTGAATTACTTCAGATATTCCTACGTGGAAAGTGGGTCAAAAACTGATGATTCAAATAGCTACATGTGTGAATCTGTAACCCGTTCCCGAAAACGACCACGTTCTTTAGAAATGTGGTCTGGGGACGCAGATACTGAAACAGGAGAGATAGCGCCTTGCTACCGAAAATTATATTGTTCTAGGTTTGTACATTAAATAATTCTATTAAAAATATTTGGTCACCTGATTCACATAAACATTTGAGGTAATTAAGAGTAATAAAACAAAATATTATTATTATTTCAGACTCAAAGCTGGTCTTAGCGGACCTCTACAGTTTACGCCTGCACCTATGCTTGATCCAGACAGGTCTGGCACCGGTCTGTTTAGGCAACTTGGAATAAACATTCAACAAAATAGTGCTGAATTAGGAGAGAGTTCTGAACCAATGATTAATATAGGTACAGCATACCAAGCATCAATACCTGAATGTTCCTCTCTTAGAGAAATGGATGATCCAATTAGGGAGCATTTGCTATGGGATCCTGGCATAACCAACGATTCTGATGAACAAGGTAATGAATTTATACTCACATAATAAATAAATACATTTAATTTAATATGCAATTAGATTTTTTGCAGTTGAAATATTTTCCTAAATTTTATATGTACTTTTTTGTTACAGTTGACCGTTACATACGTTTTTGCTCCGCTCCTTCATCAACTTGGAGCAGCGGCTCTTTAGGTGAGGAAGAAGCTTTACTTGAATTGATGAGACGCGGCGGCAGTACAACGGTAGCTAAAGCGGCACTCATACGAAGTGGAGCAGGAAGGTCTATTGCTGCGGCAAGCGAACCTACAACCTGGACGAGGGACGAAGTTGATGCTTTCCAAGCAGGAGTGATGCGGTGGCGGAAAGACTTTGGAGCAATTTCCAGAGAGGTTGGTAAATTGTTAAATATAAACAACCTTTAGAAGTAATATTATCTGAAGTTTTACTAGAACTGTGATCATTGTAGTAAGTCATAAAACAATTTAATTTATTTCTCAAATAAATTATTCTTTCAGATTGGAAATAAAACTGTCAGTCAATGCGTTGCATTTTACTACATATGGAAGAAAGTAGCTGGTGACTACAAATCCTTCTTTCCCACTCAGCGGGTTCCTGTGCAAGAAGATACCATGGTTACAGCCCATTCAACGGTCACTGCCAGCGGAGTACCAGCTGTAGTTGACTCCAGACCTCACCATTGCGAAATGCCTGATTGCTCTGCAGTAAGTAATAAAACATACAAAACAATTCCACTTTTTCGGAGTTTTCATGTAGTTAATATGAGAACTACTACTGTTTTTAATTACTTCATCTGCGTAACGTGTTTCATTGTATTTTGTAAAATTGGAGACGTACCAAGATGCAACTACAATATTACTTAAACTTTTCAAATGTATGCTTTGGATATCAAAAATATTGGACTTACTTTCAGCCCCTTAGCTCAACTTTTATTGTTACATATTACATAATTTGTAAACTCTTAAAATGCTTCATCTTTACAAAGTTTATAAAACTAAATATATTGACCATGACTTCTTATTTTTATCAATTCTATCCCCAGAGCTTCAGTTCCCGAGCAGCCCTTCATGGCCACACCAGAATCCACTGTAGTGGCGCAGGAGGTAATTCGGCAGTGTCTCAGCAAACAGCAAGCAATAATGTTAGTCATACTGCAAATGTGTGTACTACAACATTGACAGGAACTTCATTGCTGCAGCAGCAATTAACCGCCCACGATCAGACCGCGGATGAGTACCCTTGCAGGATCTGTGGAAAGTACGTATAAGTAATTATGATATATAAAAGTAGATTAAATTAGGTATTCAAAGATACGATTAAATGATTCTCCTCGTTCTTTTATATATAGAAACATATATAGGATGAATAATTACATATTTTTTTCAAAGTTTTCTTTTGTGCTTTAGTTGTGTTATAATTATTTAATTATTTTTTAGTTTTATAACGATTAAAATATTGGAGTAGACGTAACTGATCAAAGGCAGATATAATTTTATTAATAAATATTATTTGAATGAAAATTCAAAACATTTTACCAAGATAATACCAAAGTACATATACAGGACCTCCCAGGACTCAACTTCAAGACGAAACGAGGTGATAGTATTGATCGTAACTTTGTGAAAAAAATTAGAAAACAAATTCATTCTATGAAGTTTGAAAGTTACGAGCTTTTAAGTACAACCTCGGTAAAACTATGAATATTTTAGATTATTGTGATTAATTTTTACTAATTTTGTTTACGCTTTAGATGCATAACCGTAAATATAATTTTTAGGATCACAGTCAAAAATATTGACACAATTGCTCTAGGTTTTCAGGAATTAAGACTTATTTTTAACTGTGAATTCAAAATCTTCAAAACTGGTCTACTTTGAAGGACTCTTCTTTAAGAAAAATATACTGAAGTATTTTGGCAAGTTTCAGTACAAGTTTGCGGATTTAATCAGGGTTGTGAAATGGTAAACGTCCATGCAAATCTTGAAAACCAGAAGCAATTATGTCCATATTTTTGGCTGTGTTCCTAAAAATATTATTTACTTTTCAGTAAACACAGAGCGGCGGTAGTATTCTGAAATCCACATAAATTCCACATGAATGTCACAGCGTGGAAGACACGCTGGTGGATTTCTGATTACTACCCAGTGTTTACTGGGTTACTTATTTACTTAAAGCTTAAATAAACAAAATTAGTGAAAATTAACCACAATAACCGATAAATGTTCACAGTTTTTCCAAAGCTCTAGTTCTAGCAATTAAAAGCTAGTAACTTGGAAACATGGAGTTTTTTTTCAATTTTTTTTTGATGACAGTTACGATCATTACTATCACACAATTTTGGCTTGACGTTGAGTTCTAGGACACCCATATAATTAATTATAGGAAGTCTTTGATGTTTATGATAAAATATTTTAATAAGTTTTCAATATTTCTTTTGATTTGTAGTCGAGTTTGATCAAATTATTTTGAATATCTCATATTCTTAATTTTTTTTTGTTAATATTATATTCTGTTAAACGATTTATTTAATTTTCTATTTACCTTATTTTGTTTCACCAGCCTTTTCTGTGGATTTTGATTTATCTCAAGGGATGTCCAAAATATTCGAAAACATTCAAAAAACAAAAATCAAAACAATGACCAATAAAAACGTTAAAAGCAGGTAAAATTGTTGTTGCAAGACTTCGTGTCGTCTGAACGTGTTTTCCTTTCCAAATGTGTGTTCACTAAAATGTCCAAAACTGTTGTATTTAAAACTTAATATGGAACAATCCGTAAAAATACACGACACAGAAAAGCATCTTAGAAACGATGTCAAACGTTTTATTTGTTTTAATACTGAATGAATATTTTCTATATTTGTTATTAATGCATTTACAAAGGTCTTGTAAATTTTGAGTCGAACTAACCTGCGTTATATCTTACAATTAGTGCAATTAGTTGATTTGATTTTATTGTTCATATTTATGGTTTTACTTGCTATACAAATTATATTCATTAAAAATAGTTAGTTTAATCATTACTATAAAACCTATATCAAAATTTTGCTTTTATTATAAAAATGATAGGTTTAAGAATAATGAATTATGCAATATAAATTTTCCAGAAATCTTCGTGGAATTTGTTGACTTATTGTTACGTTATAATCATTTATGTAATGTTCATTTACAAATTATTTATCTAGGATTTGTGACCGTTGCCAATATCTTATAAACAAAAATTAACAATTGTTGATAGTCTCAAATTTATCTTAACAATTATAAGAACAAAATATATTAGAATCATTTTGCCGAAAATATCCTGACAGCAAGGAGATTAGAATACATTTAAAAAAATGAAGTCTTAGTAGTTTGCTTTATAAATTTAAAAAAATACGCTGAATAACCTCTTATATTGCACACGTTCAACATAATGTATCATAAAGTAGTGCATCTTGAAGATCTGTATTAGAGATTTGAATATTATTACATATTGAAATTAAGAACTACACATTTATTAAATTTAAAAGATTTTGTGAATTCACTTAATTTATTTGAAAAAAATCATTACGATAGCCAGTCAATCAGACTCACAAAAAATCAATTAATTAGTGGATAAATTGAATTTCTAACATTATCGTACTACGAATCATAATTCACATCAATTAGTGGTCCACTGTGTAATGCAGTGGTTTTCAACCTTTTCATACCGCGACCTCCGGTGCTTATAAAATTATTTTGCTCATTTCTCAATTTATTTAATACTCAACTTATATTATAAATAATTATCAAACTACAAATTAATTTGCAACATTATGTAAAAATATAAATAAAAAATAATTATATATTTTTAATTTTTGAATATAATATTCTAGAAACAGCTGTATGCCCTTTGCGAAAATATTATGAGGAAAAAATATTATATTTCTATAATTTTTCAATACGCTTCTACTAGTTTTTATGTAAAAATATAAATGTAAAATAATTATTTATTTGTTCATTTTTTTATATTATTTCCAAATTTTTGATTAATTTCGGAAAATAATATTTTAGAAACAGCTAAATAGCCTCGCGCCTCACAGATTGGAAATCACGGGTATAACGGTTTAGACGCCGGTCTTGTAGTTTATCTAGAACATTTTACCAGAATATTAAATTTATTTAATTTTCCACAATGCTAAATTAATAAATCTTTAACGATATAAACAGTGGTGTCTTACTTTGATAATCCAGATAATTATTTCCTCAATACATCTGAAATTAATAATATTGAGGGTATGGTAGGTCATGGCTCAAAAGTCCAATTTGACTTACATCTATTATACTCAATTATAAGATATTATAACCAATTAAAATACATCACAACACACAACACGTCTAAAACAAACAACTATCCAACTATTTTTAGCAAAATTCTCATGTAATTTCTAATACAGAAATATGTTTTTTCACTACGTTTTTTTTTTAATTTTTTGTTTGTCCCTTTTTACCCCATAGACGCTTAAAGCAACAGGCGGGGGGCAAACAGATCCAATACCTCAATTTTAATTCTAAAGTGATTTTACGAAATAATATCTACATTTGGTACTTAACCAATGCAAAATATAAATTTATTTCATGAACATATTTTTCACAAAGATCACACTGCATTTACCTTGATCGGATACTTTGTAAAATATGCATCAGCAAAATTGGAATAAGTATAATTTTAATTTATCTCTTATAAAATTACTTATTTAATTTAATTTACTTTTTTGTTTACTATTTTTTTATTATTTACAGCTTACCGAAGATGAAAGTTTAGTTGTTTCTTTTTCTCAAATACGTGAAAACTTTTATAGAGGTTATTTAAAAAACTGATAAATTATCTTAAAAATCACAATACATATAATGAAACAGTTAACATATACCTAGAAATTATATTCAAGTATCGTAAACTAAATAAAAGAGATCATAGTAAAACAAATACCAACGATGGGGGTTTACTTCTCGATAACGACCTCGTAAAAATTAAGGTGTTGGCTGGTTACTCATCTTTTTCCCTCTACTCTATTATCGTTAAAAATGTCTACTTGATTTTAAAATAATGATAGTAAAGGTCTACCACCGCGGACCTGTTGGCCCCGCTCTACCCTGTATAAATATGTAGATTTATACATGCACATATGTGTGCATTTTTTAATATAAATTTATTTAATTTCAGAGTTTTCATAAAAGTAAAAAGCCGCAGTGCACACATGAAATCACACCGGCCGGTGGAGGCGTCAGATACGAATCGCTCAGGTAACAAGAATTCGACCCTGGTGCCCAGGTCGCCAGCGCCGGTTCTACCTATGTCCTAATTGCCAAAAAATTTAGCACTGAAATAAAATATCTATAAGATAGCAAGATAAATTATCGCGGTCGGGATAAATAGAATTAAATTGATGATAGAAAATATTTTGAGAAAATATTTAATTCCTTTAATTTTTCAATATGTTTCTACTTGGTTTTATCGGTTTTTAAAAACCGCTTTTCTTTCATGATAAAATTATAAAATTCCAAAACCGATTTTAAGTAGAAAATACTGGTTCGCAATAACACTAAAAAAACTGAAAATGTCAAATATATTCAAATGTGCCAGATTGATGTAAACGCTATTGCAAATCTATAGCCGATACAAAAAGATTTATAGCCTTATATGCATAAAGTATACTTAAACAACAAATAATTGATTATTTTTGAAGTTGTTTAATCTAGAACAATTATTATTTTGTCAATTGTGTATCCATTTTTAAATAGTTCTAATATTTTTATTTTTAGCTTTTATTACGAAACTATGTGTTGTGTACGTTGGGTTTAAAAGTTTTTTCATTTTCCATCGTGTCTCTATTAAAACCAAATATGAAATAGTGGTCCTAATTATATTTAACATTTACTGTGGAACTTGCAGTCTCAAAATTATATGAACTCAAAATAATTTTTCCATGATGGATTCAATTCTATTTACACATATATATTTATGAAGGATAATATTGAACATGTTCAAAACTCAATTTTATAATACATGTTAACCTAGAAGTTAATATTACTCCATGTCAATGTGCATTTAAAATTTTCAAAGTTGAAATTGTGCGAGTGGCAATTTCATTTTATAAAAGTGAAAAATCGAACATTGACTATAGAAAATGTGCGCCATCGCATATTCGCAAATTTGCTGTGGCGAATATGTGATCTTTTTTAAAAGTGAACTATATTAATATATAAATTACCAGGTTGTGAAAAATTCTGCTTTAGAAGAACGCGCTGCCGGGAGATTAAATCTCAATTTTATTATTTAATTTATTAACAGTAAAAATGAATATTCGAAATCTTAGATCTCGACAACTCTATAATAATAAATAAAGTATATATATTAATAGAAATTAAATATCATTTTAATATGTAGTAGTTGAATAAGGTTTAAGAAAAGGGCACGTACAAAAATTCTCTTAATATTTTTTAAAAGCACAAACCTAAGCGTTTTTTGTCGCCGCAACGACTAAGGAAGAAACTTCAAGTTTCTTTGGCCTAAAACGATAAACTCATTGCGAAAATCACATGATGTATAAAATATTTAAATATGAAATAATCACAGATGTTCGTTATGATCATAATTTATATACCTAAATGTAAAGTTATATTTATGAATACTAATATAATATAAAGCGGTTGCTAAAGCACCGTTTCGTCAAAATCAACATTGCAGTATTACGATTAGACAATTAATGTATTAAATATTAATAATGAATTATCATTGATATTTTAAAATTAACAGAAATTTTGTTTTGGGTTATTTATTTAGAGTTTGGGTTGTTAAATAACTTTTTCGATCCAGTCATGGTTTTTAAAGATTTAGGAAAAATAATCACTAAGTGCATGAAAATATATTCATCGTTGTAAATCTTTACGAATCTTGATATTAAAAAAAATATCAAGTGATGAAAAAATAACTCGTTTATGTTATTGCGTTTTATACTTTTATTAAAGGTGTATTGCATAAAACTCTTAACACTCTAAATTTTAGTGAAATTTTATTAAAAACACATTTGTTACAAAAGCATGCAATTTTGTCTTTTATCTAAAATAAAAACATAGAATAAATGTTGGGTTAAATGCTTACTTAAGGTTTAAATATTATTGAGAGGTAAACACTCCAAATTCATCAATAAAATTTAATTCAAACTTACTAATAAATATTTCTTAAATCTATAAAATACGCGGGACTTTTGAATCGAATAGTATAGATCACTAATTTGATCACATTAAAATAGAACTTGAAATTGAACAATTAATAAAACTTGCAGATAGAATACTTCGAATAATTTTAATTAAAACTACTATAAATAGAGTAGGAGGGCTTGGAGCTTGTTGTAACAGATTTTTTTTTAATTAATATATCTTGAGATCTTATTTCTACCAAATAAAGTTGGGTAGGTGCTCTAACAACTCCTCTATCTAATCAAGTAAAAATAATTTTATTATTTTACAATTAGTCAATTTCTAGAAAAATTGCGGTGTTACAATTTACGCCGTGTTAGGGGCTAAGTAACGGCAAAAACGGTATAAATACCTTTGAAAATTTATTCTTTGCTTATTTTTTAAAAAATTAATATATTTCTTCTCATAAATCGACGTAAATGAATTATATAGTGTCTCATGTGCCAAAAATTCTTATCATAAATCAACGTAAACTACAAATAATACAAATAAAAGATATAGTCACATCGTACAAACTAAAAATTTCTCCTAATCTTTTTAACAAAGCTTCACTACATATCAGGCATTGCCATTCTTGCATGTTACAACTAGCCCCAAAGTTTTGTTTTTTTTTACAAAGTCAAGATTACTTGTTAAACAATTTAGCAATCACAAAAATTATTACACATTATTGAACATTGATAAATTTGAAACAAAGTGAGATATGTAATTTTTGAAGTTAGTAATAATAGCTCTAAACAAGATTTTATGATAGTTCAATAGTTAAAAAATGACGCAGTTGCACACTTTTGTTAATTGCATCGGCTTGCAGGACGGTTGCTATAACAATGTTATGTAGGACAATTTACCTGTTCAATCAAAGTAAAAAATATCTCAATACCGTTCAAGATTCTATTGAAAAACACCTGTTATTACTTACTCCTGTTACAATAAGCACCTCGCATTTAAAATATTTCATATATCTCCCAATAAAAATGTCATCAAACTTTTATTTTTTTTTTTCAAATAATAAAATAATGACAGATTTTTTTTCGAATTCAGTACATGTCGTTTATAATTTGGTTGTAAATTGATGTCAAATACTCACTTTAGATTATATTAAGATTTACAACGATGACGATTTATCCTGCATTTAGGCATAAATTTCTATTTTGTGATAAAAAATTCAATCTATATGAATAATTTTGAATATCTCTAAACAGTCCATCTAGGTTTAAAATCTTCCATGAATCGGAACGAGCTTATAAATGTTTGATATAATATTTAAATGTTAGCAGAACATTTAACATATAAAGATAAAATATTGTTAAAGTATTTAATCAGAACATCATTTTACCAAATAGCAATATTTTCATATCAAAAGCAATACGTTTCTTCGACGCAGGCAAAATTGTTGCTTTCTCAAAACTGATTTTGCAGATAATTGAAACTTGGATTTATTATTGATTATTTACCAAAAACGAACGCAAAAGGTTCACAGGGTTTATTAAAAATTTGTTAATTATTTCATTGTCTATATTTTGACGTTTCTTACGGGTTGTGGTACAGCCCGTCAATCAAATGGAATCCATTAACAATAATATGTCCAGAAATTGATAAGACGATGTTATCTTATATATAAATAAATAAATAATAATATATAAAGATATTATTACTAGTGTAGTGTTGCACTACTTCGCACCGAACTTTACGAAAGTTTGAGATTAAACTTTACTCCGCGGAGGCGCGGCTCTACCTTTGGGAAGCGGCGCCCGTACTCTGTGTTGTGATTTTGTGAAAAAAATCTTTAATTAATATATTATATAAATATAGATATGAATATAATAAATTAGTTGATAATGAAATAACTACAAAATAATCATATTACAATATTGAATTATCTCTATGTGATAACAAAAATGGAATGTAAAAAAGGCGGAGATTCAGTTAACATTTCCAAAATGAAAATTAGTGCATTTAATATATTTTGACTTGATAAGTTTATTATCTCACGTACTTTCTATTTTTGGTAAATTGAATATAAAATTTGGTAGAGTAAAAATACTTAATATTTTTATACTTAAGGTGATACATTTTGCGTATGGAATCACCAAATATAATTGTCACTGCGTGACAGTAAATTTTTTTCCTGATATGTTAGGGGTTTTAGGAAATTCGAGAACGCTGATTCTGAAAAAGTAACAGAACTTTGACAACTGCTCTAGTTTTTGAGATATACCAATGTTTTACCTCGAATTCTCTCTTGATATCACTCCTCCATAGTCTTGATGTTTTGATGAATTCTCTCGCCCTGTTCTTTGCTAGCATTGCCAAGATTTTTAATGTATTTTGATGTTCATGTTCCAGCCTAGATCTTCTAATTTAGACAGCATGCATTCGACAAGTTCAATAAAGTTACTAATCTTTTTGTTTCTAAGAAAATTTGTTACGATCAAAACGAGAGGCTCTCTGGTTTTCTAGATTAATCATCATTAGCATGGATAGGAATCATGTGGCTAATTGTAAGTGGACCCAAAAACCATTGAAGTTGTGAGGTGGGACTATTTGCATCTATTGCCTGATTTTATTCCATTGATATACTTTTTAACTCTGCCTGTCTTCTCTTTTAAAGTTATTCTCGCAATCCATTACATGGTTGGCAAAAGATGTTGATGTTTTAGAGTCTAAAACATCAACATCTATAATCTAGACTGATCATCATTAGCATGGATAGGGATCGTGTAGCTAATTGTAAGTGGACCCAAAAACCATTGAGGTTGTGCTATTTGCTTCAATTGCCGGAATTTATTTCATTGATATTTATCACGCAGAAGACACAGTCGTCTTAGTGATTCTGAGGCATGAAGATGTTGAAATACGCTGTCTTTAATCAGTTTGGTATAGATTTTTGGTATTTGTCAAAAGCATACTCACCACAAATGTAACTATGTGGATTCTGTATACATTGTCTTAGAGTCCAAGCCATATCGGTTGCCAAAAACTCTTGATTATTCCTCGAACTCTTATTTTCATAGCCGAAATTACTAATAGAGGTAGTTCCCTAAAACTCTAAAACTGGAGCTGTTACAGAAAACGAAAGGTATATTTGGAATCAGCGTACAAT